TGTGAATTTTTAAAAATGGCTTTAAAGTAAATAGTGGGAGAGTACATTGTTTTAGCTCTAAAAATGGCTTAAAAAGAACTAATTTTAGGATTTCACTTTAAAGAAAGTTTCTTGCTAAATGTGTTATTTAAACAAGCTAATGTATTTTCAAAAAATTTTTAGTATTTCCATAGTTTTCATTTGTGTAAAACATGATATAGTGAGTTGCTTTGAGTTTTAATCATAGTTCTGACACTGAGCAGCTATGTGCACTCTGGCAAATTGTTAATTATTCTGAACCTCAGTTTCCTCTTCTGTAGACTGGGATGGTTAGAGGCATCGGCACTGTGGGTGGTATGTAGGGCTGTTCAGACGAGATTGGGCACATTCAGGGTGGTATGGCCGTAGACTGCTATGTAGGACTGTTCACATGGTAGTTCTTCTTCTGAGCCATGATGTGATTGCCTTGAAATATTCTAATGAATGTACTTTTTTTTAAAAAATGAATTTATTTTAAAAAATCAATATTTTTGGACCATTTTAGATCTTAGCCTCATAGACAAAGAATCAGATGATGTCTTAGAAAGAATAATGGATGAGAAAACAGCAAGTGAGTTGAAGATTTTGTATGGTCACAGTGGGCCTGTCTATGGAGCCAGCTTCAGTCCGGATAGGTAACATTCAATGAAAAATTAAATACTGCTGCATTATATTGAGATTATATATAAGTTAACTACTGGAAAGATGTTGGGAAAAATTGTTAGAAAAATCTCATGGATGCCTCTTATGCATTATCTTTTAGAATCTTGCCATCTGCTAATTCATGTTGGGGTACTGGTGTACAAGATAGCAACTTAATATATACCCAAATTTATAGAATCAAGATGCACAGCTTCAGGGTTTGTTGGTTTTAAAAATTAGCTTTAGTTTTTGTATAACCCTGATAGGGGCTGAATTGCTTCTTTGGGTTCCTGCCTTGGGTTTGGGGCTACTGCTGTATTCCATCATCTCCAAATTCAGAACAGATTGCTGATATTAAAGGCATGTTAGCTGTCAACTGAAGATTTTGTGTAATCAAAAGAATTAAGAGGATACTGAAAAGGGAATTTGAAACCCACAAATAGGTATTTGCTTATTTTTCGTGATCTCTTAACATTCTGTAGAAATTGGAGGGAATTTTATATTCATAATAACCATTTGTATCTTATGTGGGTAATAGCTTTCAATCCATTAACATTTTCATCTTTCTGAAATCTTGAGAGTGAAAGGTTTAGCCAGATGATACATTTTTACTTGAGGGAAACCTCTAATTTCAATGAAAACCGTAATAGTGTGAGTGGTTCAGCTTTTGTGCTTATCCCTGAAAAAGGTAAAATATTACTTACATGTCTATAGTGGGTTTTTTTTGGTCAAAAAGACATTTCCTGGGCGCCTGGGTGGCTCAGTTGGTTAAGTGACTGCCTTTGGCTCAGGTCATGATCCTGGAGTCCCGGGATCGAGTCCCACATCGGGCTCCCTGCTCAGCAGGGAGTCTGCTTCTCCCTCTGACCCTCTTCCCTCTCGTGCTCTCTCTCTCTGTCTCAAATAAATAAAATCTTTAAAAAAAAAAAGACATTTCCTTTTAAATGCTTATGCAAGGGGCACCTGGGTGGCTCAGTCGTTGGGCATCTACCTTTGGCTCAGGTCATGATCCCAGGGTCCTGGGATCGAGCCCCACATTGGGCTCTCTGCTCCGCGGGAAGCCTGCTTCTCCCTCTCCCACTCCCCCTGCTTGTGTTCCCTCTTTCGCTGTGTCTCTCTCTGTCAAATAAATAAATAAAAAATCTTAAAAAAAAATGCTTGTGCAAGTCAGAGAGGAAAAGAGCCATCTCCATTTTAAAGTAAAAAATTGTTGAGTTTTAAGTGATACATCACATTTCTTAGTTTTTCTCAGTTGACCTTTTTGACAACTTTTTGTTGGTACCCTTTGGTATAATTTTTTATAAAAAGTGTGATTTTTCCAATATACTTTTAAAAATATCTAACCTTGGTGTGCCTAGGTGGCTCAGTTGGTTGAGTGTCTGCCTTCAGCTCAGATCATGATCCCAAGGTCCTGGGATGGAGCCTGCTTCTTCCTCTCCCCCTGCCTCTGCCTACCTCTCCCCCTGCTTGTGCGCGCTCTAATAGATAAAATCTTAAAAAAAAAAAACAAAAAACAAAAACTAACCTCATTTAGTAGGTGTTCAGTAGATGTAGAGTGTTAGAGCTAACATTAGTTTGGTTAGTACTTTCAACTTCTGTTGCCTACTGTGAATTCCACGTATAACATAAAAGATGTAGCATGTCAAGTTTGCTATATTTATCATACTCAAATGTACACAGAAACCGGACAGGTAACTAAGTTATTCTGGGAATCAAATATATGGCATTCTCTTCTCTCAGGAACTACTTGCTTTCCTCTTCAGAGGATGGAACTGTTAGATTGTGGAGTCTTCAAACATTTACTTGCTTGGTCGGATATAAAGGACACAACTACCCAGTATGGGACACCCAGTTTTCTCCATATGGATATTATTTTGTGTCAGGGGGCCACGATCGAGTAGCTCGGTAAGAACATTGTGATCTAACGACTGGCAGAATGGTTTCTTTTTGGGGAATTACAAGCTCCAGCCAAACTCATTTCACTTCTCTTATTTGGGATCAACTTTTTGAGAACGTCAGCATTTATAGCTCTGTATTTGTAAATGAATTTGGGGAGTATTACTATGTCTGCAATTATGTCCATATCAAGAGTCCTCCTTTTACTACTCCCTCAAGTTATTTAACATGCTCCCAGCCCCTCCCACCAGCTAGATTTTCACTACCACTATTAAGCACTGCTGGTGTTTTCCTGTGATCTCCTTAAAAGTTCAGGATGAGGTAACTCAGGTTAGAAACCAATTTTGTGGTGGCCAAAACTAGCGAAAAATACTTTTCTGTGGGTTAGACTAGGAATTGGGGTAGGAAAGGCGGGCACACAGAACTAGAGAATTAAAAAAACTTGTACTAGATTAACTTAGTTTTCCTTAAGAATGTTACTTTGTCTCAATCATTCCATTTTCTTTCCCTCAGGTAGCCAGTGAAGGGGGGACCTGTTTGGAGCTAACTTCACATGGGTGTTTCTGTATTTATTTTAGAATTTTGGCGGTTAACTATTACATTGTTTGTTTTCATTGCCTTTTTTAAAAGGCTCTGGGCTACAGACCACTATCAGCCTTTAAGGATATTTGCTGGCCATCTTGCTGATGTGAATTGTACCAGATTCCATCCAAATTCTAATTATGTTGCTACGGGCTCTGCAGACAGAACTGTGCGGCTCTGGGATGTCCTGAATGGGAACTGTGTAAGAATATTCACTGGACACAAGGTATTTTATACCTTATTATGGCACACAAGGTTGCTTTTGAGATAAAAATATTTTAAAAATTAACCAGTAACACATTTTAAAAGAAATGATTCATTCCACTAAGCTTTAAAATTCTAGCTTTCTTTATTAGATATTTTTAATCCACTTTTCTTTCCATGGACTTCTTTTCTAGGGACCAATTCATTCCTTGACATTTTCTCCCAATGGGAGATTCCTGGCTACAGGAGCAACGGATGGCAGAGTACTCCTTTGGGATATTGGACATGGTTTGATGGTTGGAGAATTAAAAGGCCACACTGATACAGTCTGTTCACTTAGGTTTAGTAGAGATGGTGAAATTTTGGCATCAGGTAAATGACTAGAAATGGCTTTGTGATAAAGGGTAAATGATACGTTAAAATGAAACATTTAGTGTTGACTGTGTTAGGTTTTGCTTCTCTTAGCCATGATTCCAGAGTATCCCAACGTGTGTTGCCTTCTCAGGTTAAACTGCTTGATTTTTTCACGAGAAAGTTAATATATGAAATAGATCTGACAAGAGGTCAGAATCTAAATATGGTAGATGCTACTAAATGGTTTCCTTTGACTTCCCCTTAGGTTCAATGGATAATACAGTCCGGTTGTGGGATGCTGTCAAAGCATTTGAAGATTTAGAGACTGATGATTTTACTACAGCCACTGGGCATATAAATTTACCTGAGAATTCACAGGAGTTATTGTTGGGAACATATATGACCAAATCAACGCCAGTTGTACACCTCCATTTTACGCGAAGAAACTTGGTTCTAGCTGCAGGAGCTTATAGTCCGCAATAAACCGGTATTAAAGACCTTTTGGAAGCTACTGTTTGAAAAAGGGAGACTAAAAGCAAATACCTCAGTGATTAATATTTAAGCTACAAAGAATGTTTTGTCTATATGGATCTGGAAGGATGCTGCTTGGAAAATCTGAACAGGACAGTTCCACGTTTCTATAGCAACCACATTTAACTAATTTCCGTTAGTTGAATAAGAGGTATTATGTTCGTGGAGGGACATTTATGGTGCTCTGGATTGTGTGGAAACTATGCATTTTCTGTTCAAATGCTATTTTAATTTATTATGTTTAGAAAAAAAAATCAATTGACTCAATCCATCCTGCTTCAAGATTCAAATCGAGTAATATAATACCATCTTGAATTTTAGCTGAAGAATTCTATGAGCATGTGTTTCTGCTGTAAAAATGTGGTTACTGTATAGCACTCAAGTACTATGTTAAATGATCCACTAACATTTTTGCTTGGCCCATGACTAGTGGAATGTTACTGGGTAGGGTGAACTACAATTTCTTTCTAAGAACTAGATGAAGTACAACCATCCACTGACATCTGAATTTATACCTGTTGGATTCTGAGTGCACCCAACACTCTATAAGCCAGGTGAAGAAAATTTAGCTTCCATGTTCTACTTCAGCTAAAATAGCTACATACAACCTAGTACACTTGAAGTCAGACAGACATTTCAGTTGCTTACCTCCAGTACTGAGCCTTGCTTTGGGAAACTAAAAGATTTAGACCAAGTCACTGCCAGTTTTTTGCCTTCGTTGCATTTTGTACAGTTTTTATATTTTTGATATCTTGTAAATAAAGACAACCAGCTTTTCCAGGTTCATAATTTATTGTACAAATTGAGTATCACATGATGAGTTGACATTAGCTTCTCCAGGCATGGGAATATAACAGGTGAGGTACAGGTTAAAAATCTATAAACAAAGCAAAAATAGTTTAGACACAATTGTGTTCAACTCTACTTTTAAGGTATTCAGTAATTACTAATTTGGACTATCCATGAACCCCCTCAAATTGAATGTAAATTCATCAGATTCTCAGAGTCAGTAACCACCCTAAAAGGAAGGTATCTCTTAGCTTAATACAGTTTAACCTAACGCTTCACCTTTAACAAAAGAGCTGCCAACAATTCAGCATGATCCTGAATGTATGCTATTGGAAAAGTCTAGTGTACAAAGTAACATTTTAAACAGTAGTAAACATCTCAGAGATAAAATTTCTCCATTTTTGTAATGGGGTTTCTACCACTCTCCCCAAAGTTGGGAGGTACCTCATCTGGAAAACTGGGCAAAAACTACCTGTTTGCCAGGAATAAGTCATGGACCACTGCATTCTGGGGTATGTAGTCTTAGTCAATAGTTTTGAGATTGGAAAAGCTTTTAAGAGCAGAGGAAAAATTTTCTATGGAGAGCTACAGTAAATAAAGATCTGGGTTTTGGGTTTTCTGCACATTTACTACCAAAACAAATATTTATTCACTCAAGCATGGGCAAATGGAGGTTGTGGTGCCCCATAAGAAGAAAATGAAATATATGGGAATTTAAGGAAAATATAAAATTGCTTATATAAAAATTTGAAACTAGCAAAAAATAAGATATACTTGCAATGTATTTAAAAGGTTGGTTAATAATTATTACATAAAGGGCTTATGTAAGAGAAATAAGGTCTTCACAAAGAGAAGGACTCAACTGTTAAATGAAAAAATTTACAAAGGGAATGTTAAGAAAAATACAAATGGTAAATGGAAAAAATGTATAACTTCATTAAAAAGACATTTTCACTCATCAAATGAGCAAAGGTCAGAAACTGATTATTCAACATTGGCTAGTGCAAGAGACACCCTCTTACAAAGCTGGGTGCCCCATAACCTTTGGGGAAAGCACTTAAGCCTAAAACAATCATATAGACAACACATCATGCTCAAAAGTGTTCAATGCAATGTTATTTATATTTAAGAAATCCTAACGGAACAGATATAAATCATATATCCATAAATACTCATATATTCAAATAATAGAGGAAATATTTGTTATAAGACAATATTACAGACATGACTCATAGCCACTGGAAACCAAACAAAAAATATAAAAAGAGCCAAACCAAAATGTTAACAAAAATTATCAGGGTAACAGGATATGAACAATATTTTCCTCTTGTATGTAACTTTGCACAATGACAACAATTTACTTCTATAGTGAGGGAAAAAGCCCTAACAACAAAATGGCTGTTATAAACTTAAATGTCAATTCCTTACCGTTTATGTTGCTTTCACAGCTGGTGTTTTTTTAGACCTTAACTTGAAGTATAAGATGATCAAAGCAATGCCTCCATATGTGGCCAGTACACACTGAAAAAGAAAGGAGAAAGTAAACAAGAGCTTTTGCCACTTATATTATTCTAAAATATAACTGCTCAAAGGTATCATTAATACTTACATTCCTTCTACCTGTGAGAGTATAAGAGTTGAAATATTTTTTGATACCAGTGAAATGGAATTGAGCATCAGTTTCTGGACCTGCCATGATTTCAATCTTTTTTAAAAAAAAAAAAGAAAAAGCAACAATAAATTGGTTTGGATGCAATTTAAAAGAAAATTAAGTTTTGTTTTTGTTTCAAAGATTTTATCTTTTTAAGTAATCTCTACACCCAACATGGGGCTTGAATGCACAACCCGGAGATCAAGAGTCACATGCTCCCCCAACTGAGCCAGCCAGGCACTTTTTTTTTTTTTTCAAGTTTAAAAACCTGAAAAATCATTGCACATAGGTATTATGAGTTTTTTTTTATGTCTTACCCAGCACAGAAGTAGCAAAGATGGTAGAAAAAGCCTTGCTGGTAAGAGAAACTCAGAAAAGACTACCTTGGTTGCTACTGTATAACATTCCAAAATATGTATCAGATCACTTAGCAAGGAAGAGAACACAGTAGTCTCTAAGCTCCCCCACCCCTTAACCCAACATTGCTTTATAATTTTGTTCCAGCATGTGACAATGTGCATGGACTCAATCAGTTTTGAGTAGTTGAAAGTTGGAGCTTGTGATGATACATTTCAAAGTTTCTAAAAAGGGTAACCAACTAAAAAGCTCAACTTGGAACCCCTTTCACAATTTTTATGAAATAATTAAGATCCTCCATGGGAAGGAAGAGAAGGTATCATTTATTAAATGGAATTGATACTACCATTTTTTAAAAAATTAGCATTTTAACAAAAGGGATGCACATCAGAGTATAAGAACTGGAAGATTATTTCCACAGTTTAAAGAATTAATAAAAGCATGCTGGTTCAAGTTCTTAAAAATGGAGATCCTACCAAAATGCCATTATCAAAGCCTGTCAACTAGTTATAAAGAGCAGGATACCCATTGTCTAGGCTGCAGTGCGCTCAGCACCTAACCCCCACCCCGAGGATCCATCCATACTAGCTGTTGGTGAAGGCTGGAATCCCTACTCCTCACAGCAAAACAGATAAAAGATTTAAATATAAATAGTAAAACCGAAGAATCCTGGAAGAAAACATGGGCCAAAATTTTAATTACCTTAGGAAAGGGAAAACACAAAGGACAAAAACTAGACGGGAAAACATAAAAGTGATCAAAGAAATGTAAAATGAGGCTGATATTTAACCATCAGACTGGGAAAAATAAATAGTAAGAATGTGGGAAAATATGCATCTCCTCTGTTGCGTGAGTATAAACTGGTACAACTTTTCCTAAAGTGCAATTCTGGAATACCTATCAAATTATAAAATTAGTATACCCTTTTATGTAGCTGGTTCACTTGTTCTCCAGGAATTTACCCTTATAGAGATACCACAAAGGGAAACATGTTATATGGTTCAAGAACAATGACTGAAATGCTGTTTATGAAATAAACTGGAAAAACTGAAAGTCCATCTACATAGAGATGACTGGTAAAATGATGGTTTCCATTTGAGGAAATACAATGTGCATAGATCCTTATGCACTCACATGGTGTCCCTATGTAATGTTAAACAGTAAAAAAAAAAAAAAAATTCTATTTCTGGACATTGTATTACAGAGCACATAAGTGGTTCTCAAAGTCTGGTTCCTAGACCAGCAGCAACAGCATCACTGGAAACTCGTTGGAAATGCAAATTCTCAGGCCTGACCTCAGACCTATTCAATCAAAAACTCTGGGGCCCAGTAATCTGTTTTAATAGGCATTTCTGATGTAAGCTAAAGTTTGAAAGACACTGCAGTAATAGAAAACCAAATATTTGTTAGTAATTATGTAGAAAAAAAAAACCTCTGGAAAAATATGCAGCAAACTTTTTGGAGTTTTAAGTACCTATATTTTACACAGGCATGTATTTGTTATAATAAAAAATAACAAAGGCACATTCAAAAGTCATCAGAACAACACTTGAAAATTCGTATGTATGACCGCCTATCTACCACGACCGACGCCACGCCGAGTCGATTGGCAACACAGACGAGCCGGTCGAGGTCCGGTCGAGATTGGTAGGCAGTGGCAGTGACTCAGCTGGCTCTTGATGAAATGGAAGAGGGAGAGATCTGTGAGGAAGTCGTTGCTATGGAAACTGGCACTCCCCTATTTACCATTCAAAGGCCTTCAGAGGTGTTCACGTGCACAGAATTGGCAATGAAAATTTGGACAGATGACCTTAATTCTGAACAGTTGGAACAATGAAGGAAATCCAGACTTCCTTGGGCCTCCTCAGGGGCCTTGGCCTTTCCAGCTCAAGTAGGAAAATTTGCATTAAAATAAATCTTTATAATGTAGCTTTTATATTAACATTTCATTTTACTAGACTAGTTTCCCCCCCTTCATCTTCATGATACACTTTTGGATTCTTACGGTATTAAGTGGGTTTCTAAGAGAAACCCTACATAAAACAGGAGCTTAGTCAAATTATGAACTGATAACCCTAATACCTTATGTGTAACAAAAATTTTTAGGAGGATGTGGTGTCCAAATGAAACAATACTAAAGTGCTTTAAACTCCTCTCTACACAGTATAGGAGGAAGGCTGTGATATTCCACAGAGGACTAATTCTGACTGCAGGGAAGGGCACGGTATAGGAACTGAAATTTAGTCTGGGTCTTGAAGACTCTTGTGAAGGTGAGATGAAGGCAGGAGTGGGGAGTAAAATGTTGCTGGTGAAATAAACAATGGGATAAAAGCCTACAAGCCTTGGGGTCTGCATCCTTCAGCAAACTGCACATTACTTTTAGACAAAGATCAGGACCCCTTGTGCTAGAGCACCCTCTATGGAATTACTCAAACTGAAACCTTATTCCCTTTCGAATCGTACAAAGTTTAGAAAGACGTAAGGAAAAAAATTCTAAGGCTAATAATTGCACTAATTGTTAAATGGTAGCCCCTGGAGAAGTCTAAGCATGGGATCTTGCTCTTGTTTCTAATTAACCGGCCCACCGCTATTAAACATTAATGAAGCCTTCCACGTCTTTCTTCACCTGTGAAAAAAGGCCCAAAGTGACCAATTCTCCTCGCTACTTTCTCATTTTCTTGAAATTGCTATTTTCCTGTCTGACGAGACATCTACCTGGAATGGTGAGATCACGAGATAAAAGGAGGCAAAGTCGAGAACTACTCGGGTAACAGAAGCAGCCTCTTGCACTTCAAGGAGTATACAGCTCTCTGTTCTGGCTATCTCTTCCGCTGATCGGACACAGACTGAAATCTAACCCGCTTACGGCGGGCCTGGCGAACCGCAGGGGCTGGGCCGCACATACTCTCGCTTTGACAAAGGCTGCAGCGCAGCTAAAGAAGGCCTTGCTGGCCAGCTCCCTAAAGACAGCACAGTGGAAATAAGCTGCTATGGGCATACAGAGGAAAAAAGGTTAATATGGCCAGAAGCCCGAGTTTCATTCAATATTACGTCGCTGGGTGACCTTGGGGGACTCCCTTTGCTGCGGGCCTCTTTTTTCTCTATCGTAAAATACGATCTAAGGGCTTTCGCGAACTATGGGAGCCTCTGGGACCTCCTATCCGCCTCACCCCGAGGCTTCCCAGCCCTGGCTCTCGTTATCTCTAACTCCTTTTCCATTCTCCACTGTCCTCGCACCCCAAAGCGAAAACCTACTGGTGTTCCTGAACCAGGAGCGGTCGGATTTTTACGCCAGCCCTGTAAAGCGGAGGCGCGAGGCCTGAGCCCGGGTTCCCGTCCACACACCCACCTTGCAGAAGGCACCAATTCCGCCGCTTGTGTCCTTCAACGTACGCAGCTACCCCGCAGTCGGCCGGAAGAAGCCGCCTCCCCCGCACGCTTTCAACTGGCCAGAACGAGTCAGCCTTCAGCGTCGATTTGCTACGGCTCGAAGTCCCGCCCTTCCGCTTCCTGTTTCTAACTCTCCTCCCCCCGACCAGCCAGACCCAGCATGGTAACGGAAATAGGGTGTTGGGCCCGCCCACGCTTCCGGAACAGCATCGTTGGTCTCCGGGTGTACTGGTCTCCGCGTGTGTGACTCCTGTGATACGGGCACTGAAGTAGAAAGGTGCTGGCGTCGCGGGGCTGGTGAGTGAGGACAAGGGCGAGAAGGGAGGAAACCTCGTGGCTTCCAGGTCTGTCCCAGGACTAAGTTCTCTGGGTCCCTGCCATGCACCTACAGTGCTGGGTGAGTGGTTCGGGCCCCAGACCAGCTCAGAAGCTGGCCCCTGTAACATCACTTTCGGCCCCTGAGAAGTTGCTTAGGTCCCCTCTTTGCCTCTGGATCGCCTCTTTGAAGCTTCAGTTTCCCCTTGTCTGAAGTGACATTAAGGATCAAATTCCGTGCAAACTAGACTTCTCGGCTCTTTCCTATTTCTGCGAAGTATGCACCCACCTATTCCTGATTCTAGATTCAAGGCTTCCACTGGTCTTCACCTGTTCTGCAGTCACAGCCCTTTCTAGATCCTTATTCCAAATGTCTCTCAGAACCAGTCTCTCCTATCTTCCCTTCTTGGACCTAGTTCTCATTTGCATAGTTTCTCTGCTGTACTGCAATTGACTTCTACTCTGTTTACTTTCCTTCAGTTCTGTCTCTCTACCTGTCCAATTTATAGCCTGCAGTATATTTTTCTTGATTGCTATTCTATTTCTTCCCCTACTTAAGCCTCTGACTTGTCAAAGTAAACATTTTACTGCTCATATCTAGGTCAAAATCTTTCACAAAAAAGGTCCCCTGTCTTCCACAATTTAACTCTGATTATTATGCTTTATTCTCCCTGTGTCTAGTTAAACAGTTTTTCAAAGAAAGGAAACAGCAACTTCTTGAACAATATTTTGAAAAATTGCTGGTGATTATTGAAATATTCTGCTTTAACTGTTTCTGTGCCTCTTCTCCTGCTTTTTCTTTTCCACCTGTCAAAATCTTCTTTGTCTTTTAACAGCTCAAAGACACCTTCTTTAGGAAGTTTGCCTTCTTTACTGAAACCTCATCCCTTCCTATTTCTTTGTTTATAGTTTGATTTGTATTTTATTTATTTTAGTTTTTTTTTTTTTTTTTTTTTTTAGTAACTCTACACCCACCACAGGGCTCAAACTTAATGACCGTGAGATCAAAAGCTGCAAGCTCTTCTGACTTAGCCAGCTAGGCGCCCCAATTTGTATTTTAAATTATTTGCGTAATTGTTTTATTTTCTTAAAATTGCGCATGTTCTTATTTTTTTAAAAAATTTTTTTTTAAGTAACCCAACATGGGGCTTGAACTCATGACCTTGAGGTCAAGACCTGAGCCAGGAGCAAGAATCAGATGCTTAACCAACTGAACCACCCTAAGCACTCCAAAATCGTGCATGTTCTTTGAAGATAGGGACTTATATATTCATTTGTGTATCTCTGACTTAACTGTAGTTACTCTGTCATATTTACTAAATTGGATTTAAAACTTCTTTTCCTGGAGGAAAATGTATGGACTTGTGGTTTTAAAGCAGAGATCTTTGGAAAGATGAATTATGGGTTATCTGGGGCCTAGCATCAAACCATCTATTTCTTAGTCCTGAATGTTGTCTAGCACATTGGTGCTAGAACGCTCTATCTCTTGTCCACTGATCACAACCTTTAGGAAATCTGACACCAAGGCTACAGCTCACTGATGCTCTTTGCATTGTTTTTAGGAGACTCAAACACAGCAACCATGGAAGAAAGCTTCCCCCGAGGGGGTACGAGAAGGATCCACAAATCAGAGAAAACTTTGCAGCAGTCAGTTGAACAAGACAACTTATTTGATGTAAGTCGTGTGCTTATTTGATAAAACTCACAGAACAGTTTCTAGTATCCTTGTGAAGAATGAACCTTGTTTGAGAATGTGGTATTTTCCATATTTGTTTCTTTTTGAAGTCTACTTTTGTAAGTGAACTTGTTAGAGAGTCCATACCACCATGAGGCTATATTTTTTGAAGCATGGCATTTAGTACTTGAGTTTGCAGTGCTGTTGTTCCTTATTCTTAGGAACTTTGTGCCTTGTTGGTTAAGGTTGGAGAGAAAAGTTATGAAATAAGTCATGAAAGGTACAATATAGGGGATATAGTCAGTGGTATTGTAATAGTATTGTATGGTGACAGGTGGTAGCTACCTGTGGTGAGCATAGCATAATGTGTGGAGTTGTCAAATCACTATGCTATACACCTGAAACTAATGTAACATGTGTTAACTGTACTGCAATTAATTAAAAATAAAGAATGGAGAGAAAGCAGTTGGTGATTGATTTTTTAAAATGGGATCCTTGCCATATATAATGGTCAGAATTTGAATTGAAATTGACCATCTTCACCTAGAGTAGGCTCCAAATGCTAGAGGGAAGGGAACTAACATTTCATTGTATGGCCTTATGTGTATTTTATGTAATCTTTCCAGCTGCAGTGGAGTAGAGAATGTTATTCCATGATAAGGAACTGAGGCTGAGAGAGGTTACATATTTTAACTGAAACCACACAGCTTGTTATAGTGGAGTTGGGAGTTTAACTTGGGTCTCTGTGTCTCCATCTTCTTTTTTTTTTTTTAAAGATTTTATTTATTTATTTGACTGAGAGAGACACAGCGAGAGAGGGAACACAAGCAGGGGGAGTGGGAGAGGGAGAAGCAGGCTTCCCACAGAGCAGGGAGCCCAATGGGGGGCTCGATCCCAGGACCCTGGGATCATGACCTGAGCCAAAGGCAGCCGCTGAACTGACTGAACCACCCAGGCGCCCCTCCACCTTCCATTTTTACACACTATTCTAAATTGCTTCCTATAGTGGGGACCCCGGTGTCCATCCCAGTCAAGGGAGGAAGAACACAGGAGTGAAGGGGCCTTTGAAAATATGAAGAGGGCTCTCACCTTGGGCAAAGGGAATGTTGGTGACAGAGTGGGAGACATGGGATTGGAGCAGGAATTACAGGAACTCTGGGAGTGGGGTGCAGTGGAGGAGTAACAAAGCAAGGTGACAGGTGACCTGACGTTGAAGGGAAAGCCCAGGATTGTTTCTCTTCATTCTTTTGGATCTTTTATCCCCCCTCTGTAGATTTCTACTGAAGAGGAATCCACCAAAAGGAAAAAGAGCCAGAAGGGGCCAGCAAAAATAAAAAAGTTGAAAACCGAAAAGAGAGAAAGCAGCAAGTCTGTAAAAGAGAAGTTTGAAATCCTTAATATTGAGGTTTGTTACATTTTGATTTTGTTCTAAACGAACTACCTGGGTTGCTTACGTTTGCACATGTTCTTCCCTCTTTTTTCCTTCAATCCTTTTGTATATGTGTGTGTGTGTGTGTGCGCACGCGCGCGTGCACACGCGCCCCAATAGATATTATTACAGTTTGTGCTCAGAATTGAGCATTATCACCTTCGATTATTATTATTATTTTTTTAAGATTTTATTTATTTATTTGACAGAGAGACACAATGAGAGAGGGAACACAAGCAGGGGGAGTGGGAAAGGGAGAAGCAGGCTTCCCGTGGACCAGGGAGCCTGATGCGGACTCGATCCCAGGACCCTGGGATCATGACCTGAGCTGAAGGCAGCCGCTTAATGACTGAGCCACTCAGGTGCCCCTATCACCTTCGATTATTAACCAATGCCTGGGATCACGTGTTGTTTTTCTTTTTAGCTACTGAGTCCCTCTTTGTGCTTGTGTCTTAATGAAATCTGTGTTTTAGTAGATTCATAGGTTAGAACTGGCAATAACTTTAAACCTTTCTACTTCTACTCTTTCATAGCTGTGGAAATTCTCTTGGAGAAGTGAAGTGGTCTTTTAATGTTTTTTATGTTTTTAGATTATAACTTGGATATCTGTTGTAAAAAAGAAAAAAAACACACAATGATTCGTGAGGAAAAGATTGAGATTCAGCCTGCAGAAGTATTTTGTTTGTCTGATGTGATACTTAGAAAAATAATTACTTAACTTGGTGCCAACATTAGAAGAAATTTCACATAAAAATATGACTTCTGGCTTCTTGTAAAAATTTGAGAGTGCTGACAGCACAAACTCGCATTCCCTCGTGTTTGGAGTCACATGGAGCTGAGTGGTGGTTGTGCCCTTCAGGACTGGCATGCATACCCCAGACTGCCATTTTCTCCACTGGCCTGCTTCCTTCACTTGGCTGCCTGTCAGGCGTTTGAGTTTGGGTTGTGTGGAGTAAAGCAAAAGACAGAAGTGTCCTCCAGTGTCGTAGTGCTGTTTTACGGTGCTTGGTTAGCTATTTGATAAGTATATGGATGAAATACACATATTTCCTCTAGCTTTTATTTTTTTATTTTTTTTAAAGATTTTATTTATTTATTTGACAGAGAGAGACACAGCGAGAGAGGGAACACAAGCAGGGGGAGTGGGAGAGGGAGGGAGAAGCAAGCTTCCCGCAGAGCAGAGAGCCCGATGTGGGGCCTGATCCCAGAACCCTGGGATCATGACCTGAGCCAAAGGCAAACGCCTAACTACTGAGCCACCCAGGCGCCCCTCCTCTAGCTTTTATATGTCAGAGTTGGGACTAGAAGCCAGTCCCCCTAACATCGTCAGTCATTGTTCTTTTCCCTATTGTGCCCATTTCACTTTTTTTCTTCTAGTCCCTGTGTGAGGGGATGCGGATTTTGGGTTGTGTGAAGGAGGTAAATGAACTGGAACTGGTGATTAGTCTCCCCAACGGACTCCGGGGCTTTGTGCAAGTAACTGAAATTTGTGATGCCTATACCAAAAAGCTGAGTGAGCAGGTGGCTCAAGAAGAACCTCTGAAGGTAGGGGAAACCAGAATGTACTCTATAACTGGACCTAAGTGGTGTTCAAGTAGATGTAAAATTACAACTTTGCTCAATGCTAAGAAGTCAAGGCGCAAGGTGTCATGAAAGTTT